TCCTATGCCCACACCCCCAGCCTCCAGCCCCCAGCACTGCCAGGCTTTTATATGGGTACTAGGGATATGAATTCAAGTCCTCATCTTGTGCAGCAAGTACTTTACCTGCTGAGCCATCTCCCCAGCCTCACCCAGGAGTTTTCATAGTGTCCCACCACCCTGACCAACTTGAACCAGATTGTATAGCTAGGTCCTCCATCCTTAGCTCCTAGTTCCCCTCCCATCCTCTATCACTCAGATGAATATGTCAAGATTCAGCATTCATCTCACAATGGCACAATTCTATGTGGCTCCCAGTATGAAGCTTAGGTTGTTTAGAGTCTGCCTCTCAGAGAGGTGAGCATGCCAGGGAGTGGATCTCTCATTGTTTGACAGCCACTTTCCCAGCCTAAACCTTTCCCAACATTTGTTTTTCAGCCTGGCATTGCTGTGTAATCCTGGGCCCTCAATGACCCTCTGTGGCTCTGCCTCCCCTATACTGTCTGCACATATGGGGAAGGACTGGCAGACCTGCTTATTTAGATGTTTCAGGCTCCTTTGGAGTCCCTGAGATGAGGCATGAATGGTGAGGTAAGGTGGTGTGCTGGTCTGGAAACTTGCACAATTTGACAGGGCTGGGCTCAAGAATGGGGGAGCAAGGCAGGCACTCAGGGCCTCCATTCACTACAGTTGGATGGAAAAACACTACTGAAGGAAGAGGCTTTGCAAAGGCGATGGGGTGGTTCAAGCAAATAGGCTAAGGTAACACAGGAGAGCCTTCTGGCTATGAGCATCAGAATTAGTGTCTTCTTTTAAAATGAGTGTATTGACTCATAGATGGCTGTAGTGGGTGGCTGAAGGTATCAGGTCTCTCCTCCCCACTGACCACTCACCCTCCATGCAATAGGATCCCAGACCTCAAAACCCTCCATCCTCTGTTTACAGATCTGTTGGTATGGATCCTTGCTCTTGGAAGACTATGACCCTTGGAAGCTGATCAGGCTTTGACCTTGTGGTTTGCCCAGCTTTGTTCTAAGCTGAGGCTGGGAGGCTCATACTGAGTCCATGTAAAAGTAACTCTCGGAACACAGCCCTTTCTTCTACCCCGACACCTCACCCTGCTTCTCAAGGGACAGGAGAGGGAGGCTCCTGAGGCAAGGGAATGTGGAGAAGCCCCAGGACTGGGCACAAGTAGAAGTTTGGTCCCAGCAGGGCATGAGAGGCCTTCCCAGTAGCCTCCAGGATTAAGTTCTACCTTTCTTCCCTTGCTCTGGCCTGTCATAAAGCTCAGCTGTTCTCCAGATACCCATTCAAAGGTATCTGGGGCAGGCAGTGTAGGTATAAAGGATAGAAGACTATGGCTGGCCAAGGCTGGGCAAAAGGGAGAGCAATCTCAGCCTTCAGTTGCTTACCTGCACAGACAAGAGGACAAAATGCCACTAGTCACCCTATACAGGTTCTGTTTGGCCCAGAGCAGTACCCATAAGCAACTATGAATGACGAGATGCAACAGTTCCCTGGCAGACAGGTGGTGAGGCTAGTCACCTGTCTTGAGTGAGTTCCTGTGCAACTCTCCTTTTCGCTTAACTGGCAGCAGAGGTTCAGTGACCCCAAGGCCAGGCTCCACCACTGATGGCTCCCTTAAACTTTGGTTTCTTTATCTATATAAGAGCTCTAAACACTCCTGTTCTAACCCTTTGAGGACCACTGTACTCATTACCTATGATATCAGTGTGGAAGAATGTAATGGGGGAAGAAGGGAATTAATTATGTACTTTCCCTGTATCACTATTTTAGTTCTATTAGCAACAACCCTGAAGTCAAGTACTATTATTGCCCATTTTACAAATGAGTATGCTATGGTTCAGAGAGGGCAAGTCACCTGCTTGAGGTCACACAGCTGGCAAATGTCAGAATCAAATTGGGAGATAGGGGTGTGAGACTCTAGACTTGGGCTTTGAAGTTCTGCTCATGGCCTCCATGCAGAGTCATGGTGCTTCTAAAACTCTTCACTGTAGAAAGGGGACCTTTTGGACATTATTGTTATTTTACAAAACCCAAGGCAGGGTGCCCTAAGAAGCCACCACTTCCCTCTGTCTCTCTCGTCCCTGCTGGGAGCACTTCACCACTGCTGGCTTCTGTGGTCTCAGACAACTGGGATTCTAACTGTCTGGTAGAACCAACCTAAGAAAGCAGGAGACTAATTTTTTTAAAGTCAACGTCTTTGAGGCGTCACATCAGTATTTGGGTTGGACATGGGCTTGTTATGGTAACACAGATGAAGCCCCAGACTTCATAAGGCTAAGACAACTAGAGCAGCATGAGCCAGAACAGGATATTGCAGGGAGATCTGGAAGCTTCCTTGGACTGCGTGTGGAGCAGGGCAGGGCCAGGAGAGGATAGGTTTACCTGGAGGCTAGTGGGACTCTGGCCCAAGCTCGCCCAGGGCTAAGGGGCTGCAGTGGGAAGTGCGCGCCTCCAAACACCCAGACTGCCTGGTACGAAACTGAGCAGAGGTTCCACAGGATAAATTTAAACCAGCTGCAAGCAAGGGGGGGGTGCAGTTAGATGGGGTGAGGGGAGCTTACCTCATGAAAGAGCTGTGGAAATGCTGGCTGGGAAGATAATAAAAGGATTAACTGCTATTTTAGTGGGCCATTTACTCCTCAATCAAAACGTCTCATCTATTTCCTGTCCTCCAGAGGCCTCGGGTCCAAGATTCCTTTGTCTATTACAGGCATGGTAGCAGAGGCCTGTCATGAGAAATTAATAATTTTACAGGGAAGGGAGCTGTTATTCATCTGGGTGTGGTCTGGGTTCTGCTGGTGCCCCAGTTACCTACTACACCAGCATGTGGGTGCTCTTACCCGCTGTGGGCAGGAGCAGCTGGGGTAGGCTCTACAGAAGTTCTCACTGCAGATGGCAGCACCAGCAGGCCTGGCCCGAAGACCCTTGGAGATGCAGGAGTTGAACAGAAGATCTAAGTAAACAAGAGTACTCCAGTGGTTACAAGGAGTGCTTATGAGTGGTGTAACTTTGGGCAAGTTATTTTTGTAATTTTTATTATATTACTATTCTGATTTTCAGCCTCTATTATTACTGGTGCTTCTATTACTTTAACTAGTTGTGTGACCTGAAACCAATTACACAGACACTTTAAGCCTCAGCTTTTTCACCTGTAAAATGGGGCTGAAAAGAATCTACCCACAGGGCTGTGGTAAGGATCACATGGAGCTGCCACTTAGAATACACCTGTGTAGTCTGTGCTCAGTAGCAGCTTGCCTGGCCCGAACTGTCACCACCATGGTAACCTTTTTTCCCTCCACCTGTAAAAACCCTGGACCTCACAGGCCCTGGTAAAGACTAAATACAACATCCAGTAGGCACCAACACCTCTTCTGTGAAGCCCTCTGGTCTCCCCTTCCTAGGCCTCTTCAAACTCCACCCATGGCCTGGTCCCTGACAGCTCACGGACATAACCCTGAGGGTGAGGTTCCCCAGAACAAGGGCTGTGACAGAGGCAAGTCTGGGTCCTCAATGTCCTGTAGAGACTGGGACCTAATGAGAACCTGGCAGGCTTGTCTAGAAGAGATCATGAGGCTGCTTTGAACAACCAAGGCCCCCTCCCTGGGCCTCCATTTTCCAAACTGGAAAATGGGCAGGGAAGGCCCACTGTGAGAAAGCCACTGACCATATGACATTGTACCATGTGCTTCCACCTAGGTCCACACAGATGCTATAGATCCCCAACAGGAGGAAAATGTGTCCGGGAACTGTGGCTCAGCATCTTGGGGAAAGCCAGGCTGTTTGTCTCCATCAGCTCTCCCACCAGCATATTCATGGAATACATGGAAGTAAAATTCTCTACCAGCTCACTGCCTTCTTTCTACCTCTGCGCCATACAACAGATCACCAGCCCTGGCTCCTGGCCTCTTTCTCTCCTGGAGGTAGCCCACTAGTCACCTGTCAGTGAAGTAATGGCCTCTTAATCTTCAAGGCCCAGACAGCTGACCTAGTCTATGCCCCCAGGAGGATGAGGATTACACCACAGTGGCCAATGCCTTCCTACCTAACCCTTGACAACTGTCACCCTCTGCTCTGGGCAGGAACCTGCAGCTGATTCCAAGACTGAAAGCTCCACAGCGACACTGAATGCATAGCATTGAAAAAACTTGACCTAGGCAATGAGATCAGCCTCTGCTAACCAGACACACTAACAAGACATGCTAACCAGACACACCACTGGGAACTGTGAAGGGACTGGGTGGCCTGTGCTGATTCTGTTATGGAGTACCCTTGAGCCCTAGCCTTCACGCCCAGGCAGCTTTTACTTCTGGAGGGCAGAAGGTACTAGGTATTAAGATCCTGCCCCGAGCCTCTGATAGGACTTTCCACCACACTGGGCACAGAACATGGACACAATCAATCAGAAGGGCTAGAGTAGCCAGGGTGCCTGCAGCTAACATGTTTATCTGCATGCACAGTTGTGCACACATAATGCTTCTTTCTCCCTAAATCTTTGTCTCAATCCCATCCAGAACACTGCTGGTGCTGTGCAGGTCCTTGTGCTAGTCTTTGACCTTAGCCCCAAGCCTGCCCTATGGATCCAGTGCCCTTTTATGGAAGCAATCTGTGGGAAGCTCAGCAGGTCTAGGAGCCTTTCTGGGAAGGACACTGGGTGAAGGCCAGTGTTGGAGGAGAGCTGTCTCCATTTTACTTGTCATCTGCCACCATCAGGTGACATGCAAAAGACAAAGCTGGCTAGACTTGCTTCAGCCTCAAGAGGCCATGTGGCATCAAGCTACGTGGCCAGCTAAATCACACCTAATACCTGTCTAATACCTCAGTGTGTGGGACAGGACACCTGGCAAGGACAAAGCGATCTTGCCAAGGTTCCCACTGACAGGAACACAGATGGTCACTGGTTACATCCACAGCCTTGCTCCCAGGGAGTCTTTCCCGGTGCAATGGGTGGTACAGATCTCTGAGAGGCTGAGAGGGCTTGGCAGCCCTGGACTCACCATGCACTTGTTGGGCTTCTCGCCTGAGTGCACCCTCATGTGGATGAGCAGCTTGTAGCGGGCATTGAAGGGCTTGTAGCGGCGCACACAGCCAGCCCAGAAGCAGGTGAAGTCTTCACCCTTGCGTTGGTCGATGTGGCTCTTCTCGATGTGCCGCACCAGTTCTTCCTGCTGCTCATAAGCTGCGCAGCAGTCCACCCAGCGGCATGCCTGTTGCCCGGCCACCATCCTGCCTGCCGGGCCCAGCTCTAGGCTTCCAAGGCTGGGGCCAGTTGACAACTGAGGCAGGGGGTAGGGAGGTGGCAGGCCCTGCTGGTGAGGGGCAAAGAGCTCTGAGAACTCGTCCATGGGCTCCTGCTTCAGGAAGTCCGTCTTCCTACATGCTTCAAGCTGCAAGTTGCCCTCATGGCTATCCCTAGGTGTAGGGCCAGGCCGGGATCGTTTGGGAGGGCCCCCCAGGTCTCCTGGCAGAGGTGGGCTTTGGAATCCACTTATACAGCTGACTAGAGCTGTCTGGGAGGAGTGGATGATGGGATTGATGTCAGAGAAGGCGCAGGGTGAGGAGGCGGCTGAGGAGGTAGAGGACAGGCCCAGTAGGCAACAGCGCTTTAGGCTGCCCTCAGGGGGGTTGGCCTCAGGTTGGGGGCCCAGGCCTGAGACAGGTTCATTGCCCAGAAGGTAGCAGGAAGGTGCAGGGTTGGTGAGACCTCGGCCTGGGAAGTCCAGGTCTGTGTGCAGGCCGGATGAAGATGGGGCCCGGCAGTGGGTGGCCAGGGGTGTGTGGACACTAGCCATGGTCTGGAAGTTGGATAGGACCTCTTGCTTGATGTGTTGTGCTGCTGGGAGGCTGCCGTTCACATACATAGCCTGAGGTCTGGGTGACCTGGAAGATAGTGACCAGAGTTACTGTGAGAGGTAGGTTCTCGCCAGTGGTTAGGCCCAGGTAGGGCTAGTGAGAAGCTAAGGATGGAGAGCTGGAGAGGCTCAGGGCAGGAGAAGTGGAGAACAGGAAGCAGAGGAAGAAAAAGACTAGAGACTGGCTGTGCAAAGACAGGAAGGAAGAGCAAGGCTGAGAAAACAAGAGGAGGAGGCCTGGGGAGAGATGCAGGGGACAGAGGAGGCCTGGGGAGAGATGCAGGGGACAGGGGAGGGCTGGGGAGAGATACAGGGGACAGAGGAGGCCTGGGGAGAGATGCAGGGGACAGAGGAGGACTGGGGAGAGATGCAGGGGACAGGGGAGGGCTGGGGAGAGATGCAGGGGACAGGCGAGGCCTGGGGAGAGATGCAGGGGACAGAGGAGGCCTGGGGAGAGATGCAGGGGACAGAGGAGACCTGGGGAGAGACGCATGGGACAGGGGAGGCCTGGGGAGAGACACAGGGGACAGAGGAGGCCTGGGGAGAGATGCAGGGCACAGAGGAGGCCTGGGGAGAGATGCAGGGGACAGAGGAGGCCTGGGGAGAGATGCAGGGGATAGAGGAGGCCTGGGGAGAGATGCACGGGACAGAGGAGGCCTGGGGAGAGATGTAGGAGACACAGGAGGTAGGAAGGCTGACCAGGGATGAAATGAGAACATGAGAGAGGATGTAACTCTACCGGAACCCTACCACCATGCTGCTTGTCCTCTAGGCTTCCTTGAGGTCTGTCCTGATTTTATCCCTAACCTTCCACTGCGTTCTGTGGGCAGAAGGCTCAAGTTGGCATTCTGAGGAGCATTTTGCGTCAGGAGGGTTTAAATTCCCCTTAATTTCTAGAATCTTCCCTAACTTCTGGAAAAAAGATCATCATATGACATTCTGTCCTACACAGCCTGTCTTTCCAGTCAATGTCACTGTGCATGAATCTGAGGCACAGTCATGGTGAAAGGACAAGCTTCTCAGCAGAGTGGCCCAGAATTTCAGGCCCAAATACTATGACCATGTGAAGCTGCAATTCTGGGGAGAGGCAGGCAGCAGCACGTGAGTGGCCAGAGACCAGGTCTGAGGCCAGGCTCAGCTCTGCTATAGCTTAGGCAAGTTGCTTTGCAAGGTACTTTTGGCAAGTTTTAAGCCTCTTTCCTCAGCAGTGACACTAAATAATTCTGCTCCTAAGAGTGAAAATGATGGGATGGCATGGTATCCCTTCACCATGTGAGTAGTCCATAGTTTCCCCAACAGGAGACAGCCCCTTGACCTACTTCACAGGAGGCCAAGTTCAGGGAGACAAGCAGATTCCTGAATAGAAGTGCTCACCTTCATGGGTGGGGACATGGTAAGGTACAGGTAGAAAATAACAGGGCTAGCCTGTCACCAGAGGACTTTGAAAATAGGTGAGGCCTGGAGGGATGATGTTTGGCAGAACAGCCCCACCAGAAGGCTAGAGGAACTGGAGGCCCAGTTATATGCTCAGAGTCTCACTAAGATGCCCTGGCCAAACCTACTTCCTCATTTGTGAGATGAGAAACCTATGTAGAACTCAGAGGGTGATGGCTGGGGTCAAGGGTCAGCTCCCCGGAGAGGGCTGAGCATGGTGCTATTATCACTGCTGCTATGAGACTGCTATCCCAGGGCTAGAGCTGAGCTCTCCAAGGTAGCCTTGAGACCTAATTCCTGCCTCTTTGGGTCTAGGAGCTGTAACATCCTCAGCTCTAGATACAAATAGAAAGGAGAGTAGGAATGAAGGGAAGGCAGGAAGGAGAGTGAGAGCCTGAAATGCTCAGAGCTTGGGCTCTAACCCTATCATTGCAGGGTCTGAGTAGAGCCAATAGGGCCCAAAGCTTGAGGGCCATTGGAGCCATCATGCAGTGCCAAGCCTGGACCAGGAGCCCAGTTCCCTGCTTCTGTGTAGAACTGGCTAGAAGATCTCCCTGAAAGGAGGTACAGGGGAAGGGTCTGTTTCTTAGACACTAAGCATCTCCCTCCCCAGTGAGCCCTCTTTTCTCAGCTCTGCTGAGGAACTGAGAGTTTTGGTTTCCAGGGACACAGCAAATGTGCATCCTATCTCCAGGGCTAGGGACACTGAGCCCTCCACTGCCAGCACCAAATTCTACTCTGTATCTATCTGAAGGAGTCAATGTAAAAGTTAGAACTTTGTAGTGCTTAAAGAAATGAAACCATAACTGCTTGTTTAGCTGCCATGATGTTGGCAAAGGTAGGCTGGTAGGGAGGGCAGTGGGAAGCACTAGTTTGGAGTCGTACTTTTGAAAACAGCATCAAGTTAATGAACTGACAACAGCAAAAAGGAATGGCTGCAGTGTCTGGCAGAGATAGAGGAAGAACTGACAGCAAACTAACTGGCCTTAGTGGGGCAGAGCAGAAGGCTCAGGCCTGAGGTCACATGGGTGTGACTGGGCATGGGCTTTCCTTCCCTATCCCTGGTAGGCCTGTGTGCTGGATAGCTTTAATGTCAACTTGACACACCTGGGTTGAGGGAGCCTCAAGTGAGGAATTTCCTTCACTGGACTGGCCTATGGCCATGTCTGTGGAGCATCTTCTTGATGAGTGATGTGGGAGGGCCTAGCCCACTGTGGGTGGTGCCACCCCTGGGCAGGTGGCCCTGTGTTGCATAAGAAAGCAGGCTGAGCAGTGGCCAGGGAGTAAGTCAGTAAGCAGCCTTCCTCTATGGCCTGTGCTCCAGCTCCTGCCTCCAGGTTCCTGCTCTGAGTTCCTACCTTGGGCTCCCTGATGAACTGTGACCTGGGAGATGTAAGCTGAATAAACCCTTTCCTCCCCATGTTGGTATTGGTCAGAGTATTTTGTGACAGCAATGGAGAAACAAATTAAGACAGAAATTGGTACCGAGAGTGGGGTATTGCTATGACAAACCTGACTTTGGTATTTTTAGGAGGATTATGGAAGCATTCGGAACTCTGGTCTGGAAAAGTCGTTGAGTACTTAGAGTTTGTTGCTATGGAGCTTGGAACAGTTGTGCTGAAAGAGTTGTGAACAATGGAGGCCTGGCTTGTGAAGCTTCTAAAGGAAGCAGAGACTATCAGGGTTGTTTGTATGATATTTGAATTGAGAATCTGTGGGTTCTAGTTGGCTGGGGCTAAAGAATCAGCTGTGATTAAGAAGAGACCAGGACCTGAAATAAAATCTTTGCTTTACTGGGACAATTGATGCTGATTAGCTGGGGCTGAAAAATCAGCTGTAAGTAACAAGAGACCAGCATCACTATGGTGAAATCTTCTGGGAAGTATTTCCACAGAAGCTGTGGTCCAGAGGGAACTTGAGCCTCAACTCTAGCTGGAAGCAGGACTTGGTAATCTGTAAGAGTCTCCTGCATGATTTTGATATTGAAAGCGTGAAGGGGTCACAGAGCAACTGAGGCTTGTCACTCTGAGAGGCCAGGAAAGGCCATAGGTGAAAGTGTAGCTTCAGTTGCAGTGAAGATCCCAGGATTGAAGGGGCCATGGAGAGAATATGAGGCTTTGCACCCCAAGAGGCAAGAAGAGGCCATTGGTGAAGGTGTAGCCTCAATTTCAGTGGAGACCCCAGCTTTTTGGAAATTCCAGGACCATGGGATGACCACCAAGGACAGCAGTAGGTGTGGAATGGAGCTGGCCTGGGTCTGCGACAAGCTATGTGTGCTGTGGACAGCAGAGTCAGAGAAGTGGAGCTGCCAGAGCCCTTTGGAGCCCAGAAGATCATGAGTGAATCCCAGATGTCTAGCCTTGAGCTATTTGCTGGACT